GCGCGAGTGCGTGCGTACATTCGTGCTAACTTGATTGCTCGTCGTTCGCTCGCGTGCATGCGCTGTGCGTGCGTGCGTGCGTGCGTGCGTGAGAGAGAGAGAGAGAGAGAGAGAGAGGGGAGGTAGGGGAGAGTGAGTGGTGCGTTCCTTTGAGTGAGCGCCTCGAAATAAGAGAAAAACAAAACACTCTCGGGTGAAAAGCAATGCGGGTTCATTGACTGCGCGCCGCGTCAAGCAATGGCCGCATGTTCGTGCCCGGTGCATAGTGCGCGCGTGACAGGAGCTGCAACGAGAAGGAGGAGGAGCTCGATCGAGGATACGACGAGGACGAGACGAGCATTCCCGACGTCTACCACGTCGACGTCCTCAAAGGTTGCCCGCGAGACCGAACGGTGCACCGCCGGCGAACTCGTGCGAACTCGCCAAACTCGGTGAGTCCGACTTTCTTTCTACAACCAACCCTCTCTCCCCTTCGCCTCCTCCTCCTTCTCCTCCTCCTCCTCCTCCTCCTCCTTCTGATCCAGGAGGTACCAAACGAGACCGTATCGACTGTGCGTCGCGCACCGGCTTCTTATTCTTCTTTACGTTCGTCGTCGTCGTCGTCTTCTTCTTCTTCTTCTTCTTCTTCTTCTTTTTCTTCTTCTTCTTCTTCTTCTTATCAAACAGTAATTTTGTCTTTCTTTTTCGCGCGCTAAATCAAATTGATTAGTATTTTTCACTATCTTCTCACCCCTCCCCCCGCACTACTTATTTTCTTTATTGCATTTCTATTGTTGCGATTCGATCAAATCTTCCTACAATTCTGTGTGTCTCTTTTGTGTATGTATACTTTTATTCTCATCTCCCTCTCTCCCCCTGCGTGTCTCATTTCGATGCCAGACCGAACAGATCCCATCCCAGCAAGGATGCCATTATCTCGCGACACGATGACCTTGTAATCCTCGTTGCATTATAAGAATAAAAAAAAAAGTAAGAAGAAAGTTGTCGCGGTTTAAGGCAAGGAACGATAATCGAAAGCTAATTCGTTGGGCCTTATCGTCGAAAGGAACAACTCTCGGGGAGTTGGAAGTATTCCAAGAGGTCTTAAGAATCGTGTATTCTAATCGAGTAAATCGGAATAAGTACGTGTACTTGTGTGGGGAAGGAGAGGGAGGGATTCTTACGGTCGTACGAGCGAGGAGAATAAAAATACGGAAGTTTCGAATCGATTATCGTTTGCGCTTTGGGAATGTCGCGTTTCAAACAATATATCTTTCCTCGATCGAACAAATAAATAAATAAAATAGAAAGAAAAGAAATATAAGATGTGGTGCTTTTAAACGCGCTGTCAAAATCGTGGAACGCGCGATTCACACACTCTCTTATCCATGACTAATACCTGCCACTTGGCGAATGAAAATTGGCGCGACGTAAATATGGGACAGCATCGAGATAGAGTTAAAGAAAGGGAGAGGGAAATTCGGAGGAGGGCCATTCGCAAACATTCGCTCGATTTACACCGCCCGCGCCAACTTTGTGCACGCGTCTTTTCTTTTCTCTCTCTCTCTCTCTTTTCCCTCCCCTTCCCCCCCCCCCCGTCTTCTGCCAGCTCTCTTTCTCTTTTCCTCTTTCCCTGGCCATCTTGAAGCCTTTCGAAATAAACCGATGCAGATAAATTAGTTGTAGAAATAGAAAAAGAAAAAGAAAAAGAAAAAGAAAAAGAAAAAAAAATAGAATGGTCGCGTTGAATCGGTAAGAGTTTAAAGACCTCTCTTTATCACTCGTCCTAGAAATATTTGTCTGGTGGAACGAACGACGATACGTCGTCGCCGTAGTAGTAGTAGTAGTAACGATTGAGTTCGCGCGTGTTTCTTTGCCTTATTTTATTCCTTTCCCGTTTTCTCTCATTGCCTATCTACAAACTCGTTTTATCGAGTTTATATACTTTGATTATTGGATCTAGATCTGGATAGTCTTAAATGTTACTACAAATACTATCTCGCCGTTGTAATCGTAGATTACCTAGATCTTAGATTTCTAAATTTGACGACTAACTTAATTGTTTTTATCTAGATCGAACGATTATGAATGGAATTTTAAGTTGTTCTACATACGATGATGATGATGATGTTAGGGAGCTTCGGTTAAATTTCGTTTCTGTTGGAGTTTATCGATCGATTGATTAAAGAACAAAAAAATTCACATCAATCGATATCAACATGTTGACGAAAGTGTCATCGATATTTCAATTGTATTTTTAGATTATAAAAGATCGAGCGATCCGTTGAAAGGGACTACTGCACTACTACACTACTACTACTCTTTTAGAAGAATAAAAGAAGAAGAGGAGGAGGAGAAAAAGTGTCTGTTCTTTCGAATGGACTGGGATCTCTTAAGAAGGATCGTTGAAGGATGCTGCTGCGTAGTCGTTTTGGTTGGCTCCGTTGCTGACGGAGAGTGGACGCGCGCGTGTGCGTGCGTGTTGAGGAAAATTAAAGCGTTTACCAGTGATAATAATAGTAGAGTGATAGGAATAATCGTGTGTGTTTTAACGAAAAATCTAATCGAAGATAATAATAAAAGAAGAAGAATAAGTAATAGTAATAGTAATAACGGAAGAAGAAAGGATTAGAAAGACAGAAGGTAGTTCTTTCGTCATCGTCACACGTCGACGATTCAACCTTTGGCGCGTGGCTTTTTGTTAGCGACGCAATCCAACAACTACCAACTTATAGTGTGCTACGAGATAGAGAGAAATAAATAAAGAAGAAAGCAGGTGGATCGAATCGAGTAGAGCAAGCAAGCAAAGCGAGCAAGCGAGCAAGCGAGCAAGCGAGCAAGCAAGCAAGCAAGAAGGAAAGAAGAAAAGAAAGAAAGAAAGAAAGAAAGAGAAAACGGCGGCCAGCTGAAACCAGCAACCACGCGGTGGACATGATTATTTCAAAGGATCTCTTCCTCCTTGGCGACCAAGATTATCTGCGCCTTCCTAACAACGAGAAGCGCCAGCAACGGGCAATGGGCCGGCCGATCATCAATGCTCCCAGGTTAGTTCCACTCTCTTTCATTATTTTTCTTATTTATTTTTCTTATTTATTTTTCTTCTTTATTTTTATCGACCAATGAAGCTCAAAGGAATTCCTTAAAAGGTGCTTGCTGCATCCAACGAGGACTGAGCCATTTTGCACGATTTTTTAATTAGCTCTTACTAACCGGACGATAAGCGATATCGTCTGTGTATATACGTGTATTTAAGTATTTCTTTATGTACCTACGCGTACTTACTTACGTACGTACTTACTTACATATGTATGTATATATATATATATGTGTGTAGAATTTGTGAACAGTCCATTAGCATAGACGTTTTTCAAATGCAACCTGCACCAAATCGAGTCAGACGTCTACACGTTACACATGTAAAGCGTCTACTTATCTAATCTAAATGACGTGTATCTATTTCATCTAAATAGCCACGATTTATATTTATTATGATCTGTTACGCACGTTATAACAGTAGACAACTTTAAATGGCCGATCGTCGTACGATAAAGTCTCTGTATAATCCATACACATATGCATATATACATTTATAGGACATATATAAAAGTATATACATATATACTTATTTCTTTAGCACTCGTTCATGTTTTTATTAATAAATGTATATGATCGATGTTAGATCGTTACGATTAAAAACAAACGATCTTGCGCGATAACGATCTCGAAACATTAATACAAGAGACGCTTTTCCTGCGAAACGAGCAAATCGTTTATTGTAAATTAACTTCGCTAGGTTGAAAATTTGTTCGGTTATCTTGCAAATACTTTCTTCTAAGGAGGATCAAAAGGCACTCGCTATCAAAATCGAATATTACAACGCGAGATAGTCGACAATCTTTCAAAGTTGGTTTGCTCGAAAAACGTCGTTTTTTTTTCCTTCCAACTTCGTTCTCTTTCTCTCTCTCTCTCTCTCTCTCTTTCTTTCTTTCTTTCTTTCCTTCCTTCCTTCTTTCTCTGGCGTTATATCTATCTCTGTTGCACGTGCTCTTATCGTCCGTCATAAAAAATTTATCAAAGGCAAATATGGGAGCACGCTGAAACGAGAGTGTAAGTGCAATAAAGTCTCGTCTCGACTCGTCCCATTAACCTTCGCCGTGACATCGACGTCGATCGTTTCGAATTGGCGAGTAGATTTCGTTTTGCATTCTCTCTCTCTCTCTCTCTCTCTCTCTCTCTCTCTCTCTCTCTCTCTCTCATTTATTCACTCGTTCGCTCATTCGCATTATTTCCTTTTAGTAGCAAAGTCGAAAGATCGAAAAAGCGTGTTGCATACTTAAAGGAAACATCGTTCGTTTGCAGGAAGATTAATTTTTATCGGGCCGACACCTCCGCAACCGACACCGATTGCAACGATTTTCTTTAGACTTTGTCAATCTTTCAACTCGCTCCATTGTAATTATTCCCGTTGTCGTTGTTCGATTCAACCGCAACTAATGACGAATACGGATTTAATGGAAAGCAAAAAGATGAAGAAGGTGGAGTATCGTTTTCTGGCACATTTGTGTAACTATAGTGACCTAGAAATGCAGGCGATCGAAAGAAAAATCGGTAGTTTCACCGGCTGTGAAAAATCGAGTCTTCCGTTCGGTAGATGAAACCGTTCCAGTTTCCCATAGAGGTGACCTACTAAGGAGCCCACCACTCGAATCGTCAATTTCTTTTCCATACATTTCATGCACTTCCTTATTTCTTTCTTTTATTTCTTCTTTCACTCCGTTCGTGTACACGAAACTATAGGGTTGCGTCAGAGTTTCGTCGTATACCTCACATATCGTAAGATTATTTCTCATAAGAAAGTATTATTCCGCGAATTTAAATCGTTAATTTTAAAAAACGTTAATAATACAAAAGAAAGAAAGAAAGACGTCACGACACATTCCTGCGTGAATGAACAAACTCGGCATTTTGCTTGACGTAAAAGTGGAACGAAAAGAAAGAAAAAGGTTGACAGGTATTCCGAAGTAAGCTCAGCAGCAGCAGCAGCGGTGGCAAACGGACGGATGCGGAAAGATGCGGACGGACGCGGACAGATGCGGACGGGTGCGGACAGATGCGGACGGGCCCGAGGAGAGTTGTAGGCGAGATGAAATCGAGGACGGTACGCGCAGGCAACCGTGCCATTAAGTAGATTGAATATTACCCTATATTCGGTGAACGCAATCAATAGCCTAGAAAAATCTACTACTATTCCTATCCTTCGGTTAAGCTAAACTCTTGGGAGTTTAACGCGATAGAATAAGAATAAGCCGCGGTGTCCTTGAATCTTCTCCTATCAGCGTTAGTCGTCGAGTCTAATTTACTGTGGAATAACGAAGATATACAAGTTGGAAGCGTATAGAAATAGGCACGAGGAATCAGCAGGCTTATTCACTCTTTGTTGGATTATTCTTCGACGAGTAGGATTCGTTGAAAAAATAAATTTAAAAATCTCTATAATGATATAATCGATGATGACTAGGAGTTAGAAGAGTGAAGAGTGTGATGCTTGTTGTTAGTTACAGTATACTTATTTACTTTTTATTTTTCTTATTTTTTTTAACATCTCGGATAAGGCCGAGTCACGTTTAAATATCGTGATAAAAGAATTTTTTACTACCCGTGTTATTCTCAGAAACGAACGTTGATAGTATTTCATTAATTCTCCCTAGTTTCTCTTTCAGTCGAAATAAAAAGATTAACGGTTCCGGTGTAGAGCAACACAGCAGTGCTGCAATGCAGTGCAGTGCAGCAGCAGCAGCAACGACAACAACAACAACAGCAGCAGCAGTCAACGTCAGGATTCCACGAAATAAAGGATTATTATTATTCGACGATCGAACTTAACGTTCTTAGGATGCCGCTTATGATTAGCGAGAAATTTTAATAGTTTCGCCGAGCTTGGAAAAAGTGAAGGGTATTATGAGCTATGATTTCTCTCTCGTGAGAGTGACACTGACCTGCTTTGCCTAGACGCGACTAATGTTAGAAAAGAGAGAAAGAAAGATGGAGAAGAAAAAGAGTTTTCCTTTGGTAAAAAAAAGTGGCTCCCCCGGAAAATAGTTTTGATGCGTGTTCCTTTGAATACTTACAGTTTGAAGTATCGAATAAGTATCAAAAAGATTAGCATGAAATGTTGTTTTATTTCAAAGATGTTAAAAGATTCTACAACAAAGAAAACAACAAATTTTCCAACGAGTCCAATAATTCAATGCTCTTTTCTTAGTCGATTGTTTTTTATTATTCGTACGCGTAATTTTTCGCGACACCAATGAAATTATATATGAATTATATTTATGTTGTTTGCAAAGGAATGATCAACCATTTTTTTAGCAATAGGTAATTAATCTTACTTAAAGGTAAAATAATTGATTAGAAAAATATAGATATAGGTATATATCGATCGATGAAAATATAATAAGAATATATGTCGCGATTGTATCGAGTGCATCTTTGTGAAAAGAAATCGTTCCTCCTGGCGGCTGGATGTTATGGTCGCTGTGGGCGCGTTGGATGCTGACCTGCCTCACGCGAGACTCTCTTTTACTGTGCCTGTTCGTTGAGCAAAGGGGAACCTCCTCTCGTGGTACGTTCGAGCTCGACTCGCAAGAGAACGGAGTCAGCAGCAGCACCAGCAACAGCAACAGCAGAGTCAGCACGCAGCCAGCACGGAGCCAACACGGAGAACTGCTGGCAGGCGGCATTCCCTTCTTCCTAAATCAGTCAGAGCACACGAACGTAGGAATGCAAATGCCTTCTTCCTTTCGCTCGAACATTCGTTCGTTCGTTCATTCTTTCGTGCTACGAGGTTAGCCTTCCTTCCATTTATAGAATTTTCAAAAAACAAAAGAGAGTCTAGTTTTAAGCGAAGAAAGAGAGAGAGAGAGAGAGAGAGAGATGGCTCTATGCAAATTGCATCCTTGACTTGGCAAATGCGAGTACATAACGCGACAACCCGTCTACTACTGCGTTAACAACGAACAATGACCGGTATTCTTTTTTTCCAACTCTTTCTAGAAGGAACTTTTTCTTCGTTGACATATTAGTAGTATAGGCTAGAATTATTATTGACCATTTGACGAAACTAATATTAGTCAATTTTATTTCAATAATTTTGATGTGTAAGAGAGAGAGAATATATACGGGTAATGCAAGTTATCGTATACGCGATTGCTATAAATAAATATGCATAAGTATATTATTATAGGTATATTTATGTAAAGATAGATATATAATATCACACATAGTAGCGGCGGTGACTCCTTCGTTATCGTTCCTGTGCCGTCCCAGTTTCTTCATTTCGATACGCGCAACGCGGCGACGCGACGCTTTTCAATGCACGAGCCGGCTCGTCGTGTCGTCGTCCTCGTCACTTATATACATACATACATACATACTGCTGCAGCAAACTGCACACTGCACACGAGCAACCAACCTATAGACGCCACTCATTGTCAGACGCGATTCCTCGCTCGCTCGCTCGCTCGCTCGCAGTTGCGTCGTTTCTTTCGCGTTCGAATCAACTACAAAACATCGCGAGGGATTTTCTCTATTCGAATTAATCTTGGATTTTGTTTAAGGCTAGAAGAAAATTCGTCTTCTCTATTAGAAAAATAATGGAAATCCTTTGAAATTCTTTTTTTCTCTTTCTTCGAGGAACGAACATTACATTAATCGACGTTTCAAAGCTTTTTTGAGAGAGTAGAAACAACAAAAACTATAGAGAGAGAGAGAGGGAAAGAGAGAACGGATAGGCCAAGAGTTTTCAGTTAGTAAATTGGGGACATAGTTCCTTTCTAGCTGCTTATTACTATGCGACGGTAGCGCGGTTGGTTAGTCATCGCCAGATGTTGTCGCGTCGCAAATAAATAGCGAGCTGCCAACAAACTTCTTCTTCTTCTTCTTCTTCTTCTTCTTCCTTCTTCTTCCTTCTTCTTCCTTCTTCTTCCTTCTTCTTGTCTCTAGTTTTATTCATTTTTCACATTCTTTGAGTATGTTCTTTACTTCT